TATATATATATATATATTTATATATATATCAATATATATATATATATATATATGTCATTTTGATTTTATGTAAAGCAGAAACGGAGAGAGTTTAAGCATTAATATGAAATTTTAAATTATGTTTCCTTAAACACTCTAGAAAGATATTGATGCAATGGCTATAAAATATTAAAGAAAAACGTTACCTTATTTAAACTATTAATGGCATTTAAAGAATTGATTGATTTATAAATGAAATAATACGGTTTAATAAATGGCGTAACCTGCCAGGTGGTGCAACTATGGAACTGAACAAAGCTATACTGTAGTATTACTCATATTCAGTTGTTTTTAATCCATACAGACATGAAATTGAAATTACAAATAAAATGTATTTTTTAACTAAAATGTTTAAAAAGCTATAAAATATTCCCTTAGATCAGTTTAAATGTTTACATTTAGGCTGAAAAACTAACTATTAAAAAAATGTAATCTTCCCTTTGCAAGCTCTTTCGAGGAAACGAGGAAAATCGTGCAAGCAAACAAAACTCAATCTCCCATAATGCAATCTCTTAAGCGGAAATGCCGTGAACTCCATGGAAACGGCAGAATGGTTTGCTAATAGCTGCTAGCTAGATAGCAAGGTGCTAAAAGACGTCGCTGTTCATAGGAAACATTTCATTCACGGTTTGTCGGCGGATATGAGTCGTACTCCTGATGCCAGAGCCAGGTAATGATATATTTAACACGCTCAAACATTTAAAAACAATAATTCACGCAAAACAGCCAACAAGGACATCGTTGGATGAGGTAGCATTATGTTTTTTTGTGTTTTTCACAGGCAGAGCCAGAAATGTTTAGTGCTTTTACTGCTTCTAAACAAAATGGCTGTTTTACATTTATGAACTGTATGTTGGCCATTCTTAAGTATTCTGTAGAAACGACTAAATATAAGAAAAAAAAAACGAAGAAATGGCATTACTAATTATCTGAGGGATTATGAATAACTGTGTGCATTAAATCTGCAACATGTTGGATGGATACGACTGGTTGAAATATAACTGTACACAAAGTTGGAAACAAATGTCAAACCTGTTTTTTTTTTTTTTTGTTTTTTTTTGTAAAAACATAATTTATCATGCCTTTCCCAATATAAATTTCAAGGCCTAGAACACTTCAAAAGAATGCATATCGCCCGCCGCCTTTCATGCCAGAGTTTTAGACAAACATCACTTTATGATGACAAATGAGTTGGAGCCGTTTTGATTAAACCTTTAATGCAGCATTATGTATGATCTCAAGTAATATCAGAAGATGTCAGGCTCAGAATGTGATGTGAATGACTCATCTATTACCACATCAAACTTTACCTCGATGCATTTACTGATTTATAGAAGTTTTTGGGGGCGGCACAGTGGAACAGTTGATAGAGCAGCAGGTCGCTGGATTGAATCCCAGCTGGGAACCTTTCTGGGTGGAGTTTGCATGTTCAAAAACATGCGTGTTAGGCTGATTGATAACTCTAAATTGTAACTAGGTGTGAGTGAGAGAGTGAATTGTTTGTCTCATGTCCCTGTGATGGACTGGACATATCCCTACCTCTTGAACAGTGATGGCTGACTGGTACCGGACGGATGGATGGAAGAAGTTTTTGTGTTCTGCCAAAATCTTGTGCACAGAACGGGTTCTTGGAGGCAATGCAAGAACAAAAAGACAATTTTTGTCACACAACTACATCGAGTACAAATTTTGGCACATTTGATGGAGTATAAATCACTACTAATGCACTGCAAATTGTGAACACAATTTCTTCCAAACTGACTGAATTACAGGCATTTTTAGTTTTTTTGTAAGATCAGTTGGCAGTGGTCTCTTAACGTGAACCGACTCCAAAAGTTGATAATTTTGTAGAGATAAATGCATGAACTAGTTCTTGAAAGTTCTATTTGAATCTGTCTAATGGTTCATAAGATATTTTGCTAAAAGACAGAGTTGACTCTAATAGGTATGCCAAAGTTTTGAACACAGTTCTGATCAAGTAGGTAGCACTCACAATAGAAGTTGGGGATTAATCTCAGCTACTACTTCACCAAATTTTAGGTCAATATCTGTTAAATTGACAGAATTAGCTGGTTTATGTTTGCTAAGATTACTTTGTTGTGGCAGCCATCTTGAACTGGGTTTTCTCCAAAAGTCTGCACGTAGATGTTCGTCTAATGATTAATTTCAGAATGTTTTATTCAAATACTTTCAGTGATTCATGAGATATTTTGTTAACAGTACAGACAAGGCTTTAGGTGGCAAGCAATAACAGAAGCACCTATATAAGCTTTTATTCAACCGATTATTGTTGTAATGATGCAGTTCATCCTTTCCAGAGATAACCAGACAAAGAGGATCCAGGAGAACATCACCAATGTGGAGAAACACTTTGGAGATATGTGCCAACTGTTCGCTGCCTACGCTCGCAAAACAGCCGGGCTGCGAGACAAAGCAGACCTCCTGGTCCAAGAAATTGGCACTTATTCTGACACGGAGACCCCAGATCTCAAGAGGGGGATGAAGCAGTTTGCTGAACACCTGGCCAAGATTCAGGACTACCGTCAAGCTGAGGTGGATTTTACTGATGATGCTCATATTCACACCGTCTGAATTTGTTTTGAAACCTGTTGTGTACATTTGATTTGCAGGTGGAAAGACTGGAAGCTAAAGTCATCGAGCCATTAAAAAGCTATGGAGCTGTGGTGAAGCGTAAAAGGGTAAGTGTTCTCATCATCCGCAGCTGTGTTGACCTCAACACTAACTTACACGTAAACCGAACACAGCTGCAGCCAAAAGAAATATGGTGTATTAATTTATTTATTTACTAAAAGGAAGACTGAGGGTGTTGAGCTGTTTGTGTCAGTGCTATGGCATGACCACAAGAGGGCAGTATATCTCAAAGTTTAACTCCCAGTAGCGTTTTAAGTTTTGCCAGCATCAATCTGCTGTAATCAGTTTTGTTGCATGTAGAGTGTTATTCATGAACTGCATTATAATCATCCATCTTTATCCGCTTCTTCCTTTTTGGGTTGCGAGGGTCACTGGTGCCCATATCCAGCAGTCACTGTGTGAGAGGCGGGGACAGGTCTCCAGTTCATCGCAGGGCCACATAGAGACAAATGAGACAAACAACCATTCACTCTCTCACTCACAGCTAGGGATCCTAAATGTTATTAAATTAAACTAAAATAAGTTGTGCTGGGCTGCACAATATTGTGTTGGTTAGCATTCTTTTTGTACAACTTTCGTTGAACTTTTATTTAGAATCTTTAGAAATAATGTCAGTCTTGTGCAAATGGCAAATATTGTGTGTGCACTGGGTCACTTTCAAATTTTTATTTAAATAAAGCCATGAGGGTAAAATATGACCCTGAGGTTTGCTTTAATAGACTGTTGAAGCCTCTAACTTTCTTTATTATGACAGAAAACAACTATAGTTGTTTCTTATAAGGATCCCTGTTGTTTTGTGTATCTGTGTGTACGCGCAGGAGGATCTGAAGACAACTCAAAGTGCCAGAGACAGAGAAGCCAAACAGATGGCTCGGGTTGAGAGGACCAGACTGAGAAACCCTTCAGACAGACAGATTATTGTATCCTTGCATTGTTTCTTTTTAGTTCTTTAACTCTTTTATCCAACAGTCAGATAAACTTACATATTGTATCAACAGTGTGTATCAGTGCTAAATTTTATATGAATTATAATCTGTTTAGTTTGTCAAACACAGTTGTAGTTCAGTGTCTGCAGAAGTAGAATGAAGTCTGATAAAGGTTATAATATCTTTGTGTTTCCTTAACCACAACTTTCAGTCTCAGGTGTGCGCCGTGTAAACTGCTTTCCTTCACTGAAAATGCAGCTTGTTCAAAAATGTGTTGTTTTCGTCCGAGTTTCAATTTTGTTTCACTTCTCTTCAAGTTCATCACAATTAAGTCATAAGTATACAAATGGAAATGTATTAGTTTGTTTTAAAGTACAGTATGTGCTTTATAAATGTTCATACTTTTAGGCTGAAAGCGAACTTCAGAGAGCCACCATGGATGCCACAAGGACCACCAAGCAACTGGAGGAGACCATAGATGAGTTTGAGAGACAGAAGATCCAGGACATCAAGGTTCGCTGCATCGAGCTTTCTGTCCACAGGGAATTCAACATGGAGGACCTTCTCTGACATTCTTACTTCAGCCTCTTTTAAGCAGTTTGAAACTGCTCTTGTTTGCTACTTGTTTACATTTTTACATCTTGCCATCATCACAGTTGTAGTTCATTGACATTTTTTCTGAGTCTGGTGTTAAACCATCTTTATCTTCTTCTCGTACAGAAAGTCTTCGGCGAGTTCGTGACAGTAGAAATGGCATTCCATGCCAAGGCTTTGGAGATCTACACCTCGGCCTTCCAAAGCATTCAAAGTGTGGATGAAGATGCAGACCTGGAGGTTAGATCTTACTCGGTCATATTTAGTTAGCCAGTTTTAATGTAGTAAACAAATAATAATCCAAGCTGTGATATAATCATTGATTCGTAACACTGAGCATAATTTACATTAACACGTGTTCTGGGTGATAAACACAGAGAGTCACTTGATTTGCTTTTATTACAAACTTTTTCTCTGCATTTCAAAAAGGCTTAGGTATATAAAAAAACAAAAGATAATGTAAATAAAGTAATATAAGTACTGGTAAATACAAGTAAATAAAACAATATTTGTGACCTTGCAAAGCCCAAAATCAGAACATGAACTCTGATTTCAGGCATCTATACTGAAAATTAAAAATACTGTCGTCCCTTGTTTATTGTGGGGGTTAAGTTCTGCAAAGTAGCAACATTATATTTATTTTAGTATATATATAT